AACCAATCTAAATTGGATTCTTTAATGTTGTTTCACCATAACACAAAAAGCATGAACTTGTATTAATCCTATATAATAGATTGATCATGCACCACATCCACAGAAGGTTGGAAAACCATGCCATTTTCTGGAATTTAAGGTGTTGCATTATCTCATCAATCATTTGTTTACAAAAAAGAAAAACTAAAAAATAAATTTAAAATGTGAAGCCTTCGGGTATTGAGTAACACCTGTATCTTGGTATAGAACTGATCTTCTTTTCTTTTGATTTTGAAATATCTGATATTAATTGGAATGAGGGTAAAGTTCTGTTAAAGAAAACATGTTTGAAGACCCTTTAAAGCGTGGATCTGAAACAGTTTTGACACCATTAGCTGTTGAAACATACCTCTTTAGATATTTTGAGGTATTTACTATTAACTAAATTTAGAAAGTTTTTAGATTCACTATAAGTGCAGTAAACATTACAAACATTGGATACAGTGGGATTTTTCTGTAGATTTTGCTTGAAAGAAGGTGAGTATAAAACAATTTGCAGTCGTTACTATAATGATAAAAATACTGCTCAAGTGTGAATCCAAAAAACAGTACAGCTTTTAAATTTTAAAGCATTTGGTAAACTATCGCTGAATTTTTTCCGTTGCCAATAGCAAACTGCTTTTCCATTAATGGAGAATTCATGCCTTTCAAGCATTTTAAATATGACAATATTTATAAATGTGTGATTTAGAGGAATTGTTTAAATTCTCTTTCCTAATTTTCTCTTCAGGATAGATTCTTTCAACAAGTAATTTGTAGTAATGACTGTGTTGACTTCAGTTTTGGAGTGTAGTAGCTATGTTAAAGATTAACTATTTGGTCTCATTGAAGCCAACACAGAACTTGCTGCTGTGTTTTTTCTTCAGTGATAAATAAAATACTTACAGAATTTGTTTTAGTGTTGATTTGTGGTTGTAGTTGGTGTTCTAACGGTAAGTTTGCATATTCAGTTGAGTTTGTTATTTTACTTGAATTTTTATCAGTGCCATTAAATGTCTCAGTGTTTAGAATCAAAGAAAATACAAAATAACTTTAAAATATAAAGCAAATGGGGTTAGGATGTTTCCTGTAAAATGTCCTCCTTTGTTAATGTGAGAATTCTTTAGTTTCCTTGTAATGCTGTCCTCTGAGTTTGTATGCATGTTGTGTCTGTGAAGTACCACCTTGGATTTTCACCTGAAATTTTAAAAATCATAGTTAATTTCAGAGAATGTTAATTACAAATTCACTGTGGCTATAGGCACTTACGTTATTTCTGTTAGTGAGTAGTCTACTGTTGAGAATCCCTGTTGGTACAGCTATAAGGCCAGAAGAGGGAGTATTGATGCTTTTTTACCTAATCAGATGTACCGTTTTCTTTTTGATGTTACCAATGTTGGAAATCACTTTTTCAAAACTTACCTTTGTAGTTGGCATTTCAAACCCGTGGGAGTCTTAAAAAGTCTTCTGTGGGGAGAGAACTTTTTCTAAGAAGAGAATTAAAGAGCAATGATTATATTGGGGGCAGTAACCTGCTGTGAATTTTACATTACTAGACAGCAGGCCTGTACATGTGACATCACAGAGAAGTCCCAACGGACAACTTGTTTAATCAGGTTTGTTTAGGTGAGTTACAGATGCACGTGTAAGGGTTAGGTTTCAAGGCTAGTCTGCAAAGCCATCCTTTCTGCCCAAACTATTTCTCATACTGTCCTCCCAAGTTTTGTCTTGGTGTAGTCAGAATCCGAGCACAGGAGGAGGGTAGAGTCGTCTCATGCTGTTGCTTTGTATTCCTGCTCTTAGATTTCCACTATCCTGGCCTCACATCCTACTCCCCTGCCCCCACCCCAGTATTTATCAACAGGTGTTAAAAGAAAGCTGAACAACCAACCTACTCCTTCATGTGCTAGGTATTCTTCCATGTTCCCAGTGGCTTTTGCATTTTTAAATGAGAATCACATTGCTGTTAGCACAGATCTGAGGGTAGAGACATCATCAGCCCAAAGACTTGTGCATCCCATCAGTTGTCCGTAGGGCCTACCAGGAGGCTGACATCTGTATGCATGGGATGTTTTTGTGTCAAGAACTACCTGTGTTTCGTTCTTTAACCAAAGACATTTGACTGTAGGTTGATTTATAATTTTATAAATCTAATTGAAATATGTGGGACACGATGGAAGGAATGTTCTATAATGTTCTAGTGGCTAAGAACAAACTAGAAAATTAGGACTAACACAGTCTTTTCTTTGCCTTTAAATATATATATTTGTGATATACTTTTAAAATGTATAATTTTGGTTTAATAAATCTATGACAAAAAGTTGTTCTAATCAAAGCTAAGAGTTCTGCAACTTCCAAAAGGGACTTTGTAGGAAAAGTACAAAAAAAAGCCACTGGAAATAAGTGTACAGAAAAGAACAGTTTAAGGCAATTTGTGTCTGCACAGTTGGTAAAACCCTTTTGAAGGTTCCCTATACTGGTTTGCTGCTTAGCCAAATATGCAGCATGTTCTTATGAAGAAAATTGCCACAAATTACTTTGTATATTTTTTAAACTTTGAAAAAGGGGCTTTCTTTACCCTAAACAGTTTTGCAAAGTGTTTAGTTTCACATTGAGTTCCAAGGATTGTTTTTAAGTGAATGTGCTTAAATATACTTTTCATAAGAGAATTCTAGAAAATGACCTATAGTGATATTCCGTTTTAATTCCCAGTATTTCAATGTTATCTGGAAAACTGAGGCTAATTTGGCATGGGGGAGGGGGGACTCTGATGGAAGTACTTTCTGAGTGGATTGGTATAATGAATGAGTAATTGAGCATTTTCTGGATACTTTTAACACTCTCCTGACTTGAGGACTTAAGCTCACTCCATGCTCAACATGTTCCCATTTCTGGCAAAATAGTGTAATGGTGTCAGAATATCAAATTAGTATTACATATATCCCCCATCACAGTGATTCCCATATGTTGAGGATATAAACCACATACTTGAGGGCCTTGGAAACACTGTCTATAATTTGACTCTTTAAAATTACGAAGTAGCTAAACTGGTCCTGCCACCTTGCTAGTCCTTTTGGCCTGAAGAATCCACTCGTCTGTTTATAGTTAGTGGCCCTTTTGAAAAGGTGGAACAGAGCAGTGGGAGAGGTAACAGGAATTCCTGTTGACCCAAAAAACTTTACCCAAAAAGCAAAGCTAACTTAAACTGGTATCTTTCCTAGCAAAAGAAAACAAGTAATTACATGGTTTTTATTAAGCTCCTTAAGCTTAGGCCCAGTCAAATGTGCAGTTGGGGTTAAGACTAGTAGGGGTGGATCTTTTTTTCCCTAAGAAACATCGTGCCTGTCCCTTATCCCCCTCATTTCTGACGCACCTTCCTTTGGCCAAAAGGACTCACAGCTACCTAGTAGTATTTACCTTACCCCAGCCTCTAATATACCTTCACATGAGTGTTCCAGATAAAGTCAATTTGCTGTGGGGGAAGTTAGCTGTTTAATAGGAACGGAGGAAACTTGTAATATCCTAGCTAAATCCTACTGGGAGCTTTACACACTTTGACTAACATCTCCTGGTATCTGCAGATGGCCATGCTTTGTTCATCTTAGTTCACCTGTTTTTGCCTCCTGCGTCTGTCTTGGTGGTAGGTAGTAGCCGCGTGCTCCATGACGTGGCATTCAGCATGGTGGATTTAAAAGTTAGAGTGGGAGGTAAATAAAGTAGGGGATGGGAACCATTGCCTAAGATCAGGTTTAATCTCACTTAGGGATAATTGGTGGGGTTCCAGAAACCGACTAGGGTCTTCCAGTAAGAACGGGAAGATGAGAGACCCCTGGCAATTCCTTTAACTAGTGCTTATTCTGGGTTAAGGACTGCCTATGTGCCTAAGGCCAAACAGCCTAGAGTAGAACCCTTTAACACGGGTTATTACATTAACATCCTAGAGCTCAAGGGATCCAGATTCCATTTAGTTTGAGAGGCAACAGCTGGCGTGAGCTTTTCCTTCACTGGGGCTCTGAAATTTAGCAGTTGAGGGGGAATACTGATCTTTTGCCTTTCTCCCTTTTGATCTTAGTATCATAAATGTTTCTAAAGAACTGGAAGTGGATGGGTGTGTAGAGAAGAGGCCAAGTAGGAAAGGTATAGGTGAGGTTAATTAATTCATATACTGTTCACTGTACAAATACACGTCTTTTTAAACAGCACCATTTCCAAGTTATACACAATATGATTGACTTGGCACAATTTTTAAAGGTGGAAAAGGCTAGTTGCTAGGTCAGTAATAAAGATCTGGTACATAAGAGGATAAGGAGCTGTATTCTACCTGCTACAGATTGTGCATTTTACTAGGACGTAAACAAGCCACAAGGAGGAATAACCGCCCAAATGAACACTGGAAAGTTTAGAAAACCTTCACTTCTCATAACGGTGATGCTACGAGGGGCTTGCTTCACCTGGAATTAGAATAACTGATTAAGGACAACTAAGAATATTACTTGCTTCAAACAATAAAATAGTCATTTTGCCAACATTCCATAAAATCGCCAGTTTTAAGCTCAGTTCAGAGGCTTTTAAAAAAATATTCTAGACCTAGTAAAGTGCCTCCGTTCATAAAATGAAACATTTAAGGTTAGACAATTTCATACTGATGCGCATCTAAAATAGGTCGACGTATACAGTAAATAAACAGCGCCTCTAAGTTGCCATATTTCAGTTAGTGGAATACACACCCAGCCTCCGCGGTTCTGGATGTGGGCAAACTAGAAACTAGAGACAAATGGGGATTTTAGCGTCTCGTCCCAAACGCTCGGCAGGGAAGTACTCCACACGGTTGGCTTTTGAAAAACCGCCAAGACGATGTCCCAGGCTGAGCCAGCTGCTGAGCTCCACGCCTCCCCAACAGCGATGGAGACACTGCGCAGGCAGAGTGAGACGGCAGGCGGCGACCCCAGCGGCGTCAGGTGCCAGCAGCCCGAGCCCAGCCCTCAGCGCAGCTTCTTGGCCGGCAGGCCGTCCCTGGCGCTGCGCGGCGGCGGGCGGGGGGCGGGCGGCGGCGGCACTTTGGAGAGCGGGCAGTACTTGATGGTGTGCGCGTTGTCGCCGCTGGCGCCGCACAGGGGGCACGTGTAGCGGCGCAGCACGGGGCACAGCACTCGCCCGTCGGGGCCCTTCAGGATGTGGGTGGTGTAGAGCGCCACCGCCTCCTTGTTGTTCCGGCAGAACACGCACACCTGCAGCTCGGGCTTGAGCAGCCGCGCGGCCGCCGCCCCGGAGGCCCTGTGCAGCCGGGGCTCGGCCGCCCACGCCGGGGCCCGCTCCTCGCGCGGCGTCACTTCGGCGGCGGCGGGCGCGCAGCCCAGCAGAACGGCGGCGGCGCGACCCGCGAACGGGCTCAGCTCGGCGAAGCGCTCCTCCAGCAGCCCGGCCTCGGCGGGGCCCGCGCACAGCTCCAGCGCGCGCAGCTCCAGCGCGCCCCCCAGGTAGCGGCTCCGGGACCCCGGCTCGTCGCTGTCGTCGTCGTCGTCCTCATCGTAGTCTGGTGGCCCGGGCGCGGGCCCCAGCGCCCCCGGCCCGGCCCCTGCGTGGGGGGAGCAACAGGACGAGGAGGAGGAGGAGGAGGGCGGGGAACCGCCGCCGCCGTCCGCACCGCGGGCGCAGCCGAAGCCGGGCTCGCCGTCCACCGCCTTGGTGATGAGCGTGGCGAGCCCCAGGTAGTCGTTCCACGAGCTGAAGGGCTGCGGGTGCGCCGGGCCCTGGGCGCTCACGTAGCGGGCGCTGGGCACGAGCGCCATGGGCGGGGGGGCGCGGCCGCGGCGGGGCGAGCGGGGTGCCCAGGGGAAAGCCTCCATGGGCGGGCCGCGCACGCCGCCTCCCCGCCGCCGGCGCTGGCCGGACGGAAGGGACGCGCCGAGCCTGCCCGCCGGCCTGCCGCGGGGTGGGGCCGCCTCGCCGCCTTTTATCGGGCCCCGCTCCTCCCCGCCCCCCGGCCTCGCGGCCGCGGCCCTGCCCCTTGCGCTCCCCCGCCCCGGCCACCTCGCCCGCGCCCCGGACGGAGGCGGAGCGGAGGCGGGCGCGCCGGGGGCGGGCGGGCAGTGCGCGCGCTTCGCTCCGGCCCGCGCGGCTCCCGCGCCCCACGCTGCGCGGGGCTCGCCCGCTGTCCGGTGCTTTCATTCTGGGAAGGGGGCGGGCGAGGCGCCGCCTCGGGCCACCGCGCTAATTGGCTGCCGACCAGAGCCCCTGCGCCACGGGCGTCGCTCCGGATGCTGATTGGTGCAGTCCGGGCGGGGGGCGTGCCCTGCCCGCGCAGCTGGGAGGTGCGGGGAAAGTAGGGGAGAGGAGGGCCGGGGAGGGGCGGCTGCTGGAGCCCTCCTGCGTCAGAGCGACGAGCCCTGGCTTTGGTACAGGTGACCGGGCCTGGGTCTCCTTCGGCGGTGGTGAGGTTCAGCGAGGACAGGGGTTGGGATGCCGACGGGTTCATGCCCCCACCTCCCAGTCCTTAAGCCCCAGGCCCACATGCCGCGAAGCCCCTTCTCTCCTCCCCCCTTGTCATCAACATCAGCAGGAAAAGCTGTGCGGGAAGCAGGACTGCGCACGGTGGAAGGATGCAGTTGTCACATCACAGCCGCCCAACGATCAGGGAACTTCCGTTTGCATAGCGCATTGGAGCACTTTCCACTGGGTGAAATGCTTGCAAACCCTGAGATTCAGAGAGGTTATGGTTCTTGTAGTAAGTAGTGGAGGAACGCAGGCCTTTCCCGCAGCGCACAGTGGCCTCCAACAGGTAGTCAGAGACTGGGTGGCCATTAGCCGTAGCCTTAGGCAGGGCTGGGGCTGGGCCAGGAGAGCCTAGGACCTTGATTGAGGGGGGGGTGTGTGTAGCCCCTCACCCTCAGGGGTCTGGATCGAAGTCTGGGGTGTGTGCAGTTTGAAAAACAATGCGTATTCAACATCATAACTTAACACTTTGAAATGAATAAAAGATTTGTTGTAAGAACTGGAGAACAAAAGTCAGAAAATGAGTTTTGATTAGGAAATTAGAGGCGGTCTTGTGCTTCCCAGGAAAAGGGACTTACTTTCTTTTTCTTTAATTGAAAGTAGGAAAGATTTTAGGTACTGAGGGCTCTTCTAGGATGGGGCCTAAGACCAGGACCAGGAAAACGCCTTCCCTGGTAGCTGGGTGGGCAGCAGGGTGGGCTTATTGGTGCATGGCCGGGGGTCTTTCCTTCTCCACGCTGGACTTGTGGCTACTGAAACAGTGATGGGGCAGCCCTCATTAGGCCCGAGGCCATGCTCACAGGTCTGGCTGTGCCCAGCAGGTAGAGAATGGCCCAGCAGGGGATGCCCAGAACCTTGTGCTGGCATCAGTTACTATTAGAACAAATGAGTGATTTCATCAGAATGTCAGCAGTGGAAGGGATCTGTGGGATCATTCACTCCAATCTCACTTTACAGATGAAGAAAATGAGACCCAGAGAAGGACTTCTTTAAGGCCACACAGTGACTATTTGACAGCCAGAACGAGGACTGAGGTCCCGTCACTCCTAGCCAGGTGGCCTTTCCACTACACCATAGACTCAGAAGGTATTTCTGTGAGTCTGTGCATGCATCAGCAGAAATCAAATACAGAACACAGGGGAAGTTGGAAAGAAGAGAGGTGGGGTGGGGAGATGTACCTTTGGTTGGGGCCCTGCCCTCCGGGGGCAGGGCCCAGCTGGAAGGCACAGGGGAGGATGAGGCAGCAAAGCCAGGCCTGTTCGGACCACCTGCCGGGTTTGGGGCTGAAGACAAGCTTTTCAGCCTCTTCCTCCCCTCCCAGCCCCTGACGGTTGATAGGAAGGAGTCTGGAAACTAGGCAGTAATATTCTTCACTTGCCAACCCCGTTCCTTTTCCAAGTTTGTGTTGGCACTCAAGTTAGAAAGTCATTCCTTTATTTCCTCCCCCTCTCCCACCGAAAATAAATAAAAGCCTCAATGCCACGGGACTCCTTCAGAAGCCTGGCAGGTTTGCTGACACTGAACTCTGAGCTCTTACCACGAGAATGCTGCCCCCAGAGTGGTATGAAGATGATTATTCTATAAATGGAAAATTCCGCTCAGTTCACGCAGCCCTGCAGCCTGCACACTTTCAAGGTATGCAGACTGTCCAAGCTCTGAAGAGTGGGAGCCTCTGCTCTGAGAAAAGCTCCGGCAGGGCAGGTTTACAGCTGCCGGCTGCTCTGTCTGATCCCCTGCCTGGGTCAGGCCAGAGACGATGGCGAGTGAGCCTCGGCCCCCTTCCTCCCCCACATGGCTTTCAGCCCTTGTATTATAGGAGGAGAATAAAAACTTTGAAGTGAACGTGAATAAGAACAAATGTCTTGCCCGGGAGCTGCCGCCTGGGCGTGTGGGCAGCTGTGATTGTGTGGAGACGGGCTGGGAGGACGTGGACAGGAGAGAGTGTGTCCTGGGACCTAGCCACGTGCCGTTTCCGCAGGCGCCCCCTTGAAAGTAGGAGCTTGACCCGGAAGGGAAGTCTGGGCGTGAAGGCCAAGTGTGTAAGGGTTTTTGTCTTTGGGAATGTGCGGGGCCTGGGCACCCTGGGGAGCCTTTGCTGGTGGCGACCATTGAGAGGCCAGAGCGGGTGCCTGGCCCACCCCTGGGTTAAATAAAGTTACTTTGTCACCAAGCCCAGGCCTCCTCCTGGCCGTGAGCACTCCAGCTCTCTTTGAGGTGGTGGAACTGACTTCACAGATGTTCTTAGAGCCTCTGATGAAGTCTGATTGCCTTTTGTTTCACTGTTTTCGTCGAGTCTGGAACGAAACAGACAGAAGTAGCCAGAGTGTGAAAGTTTCTTCAGGGGACATCCTCAGACTGGCCGAGGCAGGAAGACGGGTGGGCACGGGCCTCACCCCAGAAGCTGGAGGGTTGCTTCCGGAGTGGGCCTGCCTGGCACGGGCCGAAGGCTCTGGCGGGGCAGGGTGGCTGGTTGTGAGGGCATCCTGGGCTCTGCGTTCCCATCGGCATGGCCCCAGCCCCAGCGCTTTCCTTTGCTGGCTGCAGAAGGCAACCGTGAGAGGCATCCTGAGGCTCGTCAGAAACATGGGTCAGCCCCGGGGAATGAGGCAGCCTGGCCAGTGTCCAGGCGGCTACAGGGATGCTGTTTCTTGGGCCCTGGGCTGCTGCTGACCCGCCTGGCTCCCCCAGCCGTGGGCTTGGACGCAGGAGAGGCACAGTTGGGCATGTTGAGGGCTCTGTCCTCTAATGCGTTGACTGTGTCCATGTCGTGTCTCTGTCAAGCTCAGAGAGTCCCGGGGACGGGGACTTGGCCAGGTTTGCATCCTGGTCCTTGTGTGAGGTCACATGTGGCCTTGGACAAGGGACCGAATCTCGGCCCCAGCGCCTTCCTTTGGTTAGCAAAGGGGCTCGTCATGTAAAGTGGCACGGTGTGTGGGTGCCAGCTGCCAGCCACTCCCCTGCTTTCTTAATCTTGTTCCGAGTCCCTCCCTCAGCCTCAGGGGATGAGCTGTGACAGCTTGAGGCCACTCAGAAACTTCGCATATCCCCTGGTACAGTTGGGTAAGGAGAGGGCTGGTGACCTAGTTCTGGCCCCTGAAATACAAGCGGGTGTCTGGTGTCTGCCGGGGGTGAGGTCTGCAGCGGAGTCTGCTCCCTCCATAGAAAGGGGCAGGGAGGGCCAGGACCTCACCTTCTTCCTCTCAGGTTATGGAGCTGCTGCAGCCCTGAGGTGCCAAGTCTTAAGGACAAAAGGCTGGCACAGGGGTGATGGCTTACCGGAAAGGTTAAACCCTGGTGACAGTTTTGTGGGTGACTTGTTACACAAAGTAATTAAACATCTTTATGGTTTCAGCCACTTCCAGGCAGGTATCTTTTTACTGGTATTCGTTCTAAACGAAACGTGTGGTAATATGGAGAATGCATTTGGTAATCCCACCAGAAAGGTAGGATCCACTGTTCTGGCCAGACGGAGGTGACAGCCGTCCGTATGTGTGGACAGGGGCTGGAAGGGGGTGCGGAGAACCGAGAGCAGGTGCTTCTGCTCTTCTCCCACCCACCCCGCCTCGGGCCGAGTCTCCTGGCTGGCGGTAATAGTAACCCCGCCAGCAGCACCAGGTGCTTTACACACACACCGTCTCATGTGACTCCCCCCGCCCCACAGATGCCACAGGCACTGTGACCACCCTTCAGCAAGGCTCCCCGGGCGGGCGCCCAGGGCCATGTCGCTCAGGAGTAGCAGGGCCGAGATTTGCACCTGTGCCCGTCTCGCTCCGAAGCTGGGTTTGTGCCTCTTCAGATGCACCTGGTCATTCTCAGGGCTTCTGGGGTCCAGATGTGGGACCAGCAACACGCAGCAGCAGGGCAAGAGAGGACAGCGCTGGGAGCCACCTGGTGCAAAACTGGGCACATTCCCTTCTGTGTCAGAGATGTCCCCCAAACAAAACCAATCCCACTGAAAGCAGTCTGCGTGTTTCTATTTACCCAGTTGTAGGTACTTTGGTAAAGTGAGTAATCCTTTCTCTCTGCGACACCCTCGCTCCTCCCGGCCGTGTGGTTTTCTTTTAGAAATCTGGAGCGTCCCAATTTTGTTTAAAGCAGGAGCTGCCTGGAGGCTGCAGGCAGAAGGGCAGAGGCCCCTGGTGGAGGATGCTGCTAATAGTAATGACAGTGGCTCAGGGCGCAGAGCCTCAAGTGCACTGAGCATTCGCTCAGATCAGTTCTGAGGTCCTCCCAGCAGCCCTGCAGTGATTCCCTTTCACAGAAAGGAAAGTGAGGTTTGGGGAGGCTAAAAGCCTGTCCGCCTCTCACAGCTGGCTGGTGGCTGGGATTTCTGCAAGGCCTGTGCTGTTAACTC